CTATTCTCTTATAAAACTTATGTAAGCATTATAAATTCTATCAAATTATATTGAAACAGCTGTAAAAAATATGCATTTGACCGCAAGCCACACTAGAATTTAATTGTTTATTCGTATTTTGTAAAAAATTCTTACCCATCCATTTATTAAGACCCCCCTCCCCCCTCTTTTCCGTTTATTAGATCTGGACTAAAATCCCCCTTCCCTCCTCTTTGTATTAAACACTGGAGCATACTCTCTGGTGCTAACAAAGGGGTCAATTAAGTTTAGTTTTAATTGTGGGCACAACCAAAACTAAATTTAGGTTGTGTCTGCAATATGGAATCCAGCTTTCATCTTTAAAGGCAACTTTAACATTTGAACCATTATCAGTTTCTTAATAATTGTTAGTTTGGCATGTACTACCTGTGTGTTTTTCTTCCATTGATCTTGCTGCAACAGTGTATGAGCACAATTTCCATTGGTCGTTGATACTGTATTTGTGATGTACGTTATTGTCTGTTTATGTGTTCACAAATCAGTCATATCAGCAAAACGTTTCTGCTCATTAAACACTGAAAGCAGAAAAGAAACGAGCTGAACTTGTTTTTTAAACAAGTTCAGCTCGTTTCTTTTCTGCTTTCACTATAAACATGACAAGAAACAGTTCGGGCAGATAAGAGAATATCATCGGCAATCTTATGTTTAGCTCAATTTGATATTAACTGCAAATTTTCTAAAACCAACACCTACTATTGATAATGGCCAAATATCAGTAGCACACAAGTTCGAAATAAACCAGTTCCGTTTTGTCTGAAGTTAATATTTTAGATAAATTTTATACAATTCATAAACTTTTTAACTGGAACAGCTTAAAGGTTAGTAATAGCTGCCTTTCAAGCATCTACTTGATAATTACAACATACTATCTAATACTCCTGAACAATACCAACAAACCGCTTGCCCACTTAATGGAAAATGCCTTTAAAAAATATTTATAATTGCAATTAACATTAGGATAAAATTTCTTTTTTTTATGAAAGTAAGACTGACTCCACTGAACTTTCAAAATTTGTATGAGAATGCAAATTTAGGGCTATCCTTAGAGGCTATCCTAAAGTTGAATATTTTTAAAGAAGCGTAGCCATTCAAACTTGCTTTTTTCTTAATGTTATTCATCTCCCTAAGACCAAAAGGGTCACTACATTGCAGGAGGCTACTTTATTGTGGTTACAACCTTTTCTCAATTTTATAACTCTGAAACACAAAATAAGATGAACAAGCCGCTGCACGAAGAAACAAGTTAAGCACAGTGCTACCAGGGACTTATATATGTGTGTGTATATATATATATACACACACACACACAAACACACACAGACGCACACACACACACACACACACACACACACACACACAGATATATATATATATATATATATATATATATATATATATATATATATATATATATATATATATATGTATATATATATATATATATATATATATATATATATATATATACATATATATATATATATATATATATATATATATATATATATATATATATATATATATATATATATATATATATATACATATATATATATATATACATAAGTGTATATATATGAATAATGAAAATATCTTTATATTATTATGTATAATATTGTATACTTAAAAGAGTGCTCAATGGATAAACTAGAGCTATATAGTATATATGTTACTGTTACCCGCATTACCAGTAATTAGCTAAATGCTAATGTTTATAATATAATTTAACATTGCAATTCTGAGTTTCATATGTTACCACAATCATCAGGCAAGTACCAGATATAACAACCACAAATCATCATTCATTAATGTTATATACAAAATGTCTACCGCCCTATCAAACTACGTCTGGAATTTAAAAACAATTTTAACGAAACTTCTTTTCAGTTCTTTGGAATTCGCTTCCTTCATCTTGCTTTCCTGATTCATATAATTTGCAATCTTTTAAGTCATCAGTCAATCGTTATCTTGCTCTACAGATTTAGTCTTTTCTCTTCCAGTAACTTCCAACTCTTATAGTGGTTGCTTGCAGCCTTGTTGGAAGTGAAGATGTTAAAAAAAAAAAAAAAAAAAACTCCTATACTAACATGGTCTATTCTCAAGTCTGTACCCCTCTACTCAAGTATTTCCAAAACGTGTCCGCTATGTCTGTATGAGAAATTTACTATTATATCGTATCCAAAACCTGAGGAACTGCTAAATTAAAGAACCAAAATTATATCAAAGTGCCACTACGAAAATAAATTCTTATTAAAAAATTACAAATCTCGTTACAAACTTAAGTAACAACTAAAAATAACTTTATTATTCTACTCCATATATCTCTAGGCTAACTAATAAATTGCCCACATACACAGCTATTATAATATATTTCATAATATTATACATATTTTTATATCAATTTTAATTTTTTTTAATATATAAATAATGCACATTATCACATAAATATTTTAAACAACATTAAACATATAACTATTTCACAACTCTTAGGTAACTAAAAATAAATTAATAATATTATTAACCTAACTACTAATCAATTCCCGTCCCGTAACGATCTAAAATACAAATATAAACCGTAACGTTCACTAAACAAATCGTAGCAAATTTAAACTTATACTACTTGCCTGATGATTGTGGTAACACATGAAACTCAGAGTTTCAATAACAAAATATACACACACACACACATATGTAAATGCTATAAATACATTGTAAATTTTTTTATAATTTTGTTTAAATAATTTTTTTATTTTAGGTTCAGCAATATATAAAATCTTGCGATGAGCAATTGGAAGAAGCATTCATTAATCTGGAAAATCTTCATATAACTATATGTATGTTTCTTCTACAAAATGAAAATGATACAATTAAAGCAAATAATGTTCTGCAGTCTATTCAACCAATACTTGTATCAATGCTACCGATGTTTACATTCCGATTGAATATAAAATGTGTTAAAGATTTTAGGGGGTTGGTTGTTTACGCTGAAATCGAGAAGAGTCCTTTGTTTATTAAATTTGCAGAAATTTGCAAACTAAAACTCTCAGATGCTGGAATCAATTTAGCAGGAAATCATGAACCTTATAATCCTCATTTAACTATCCTTAAGCTAACTAGACCGATTTGCAATAAACTCAACATCACCGGTATCAATGATTTTTATTACACTGGGTGTAAACAAGTTCACTTCGGTCAACAAACCATTAAAGAGCTTCGCATTTGCTTAACTGGTAAAGAAAGAGGTCCTGATGGATTTTATGTAACAAAGTCATTAATATATAATCATTTGTGCAGCATCTCACCAATACTTCCGTCATTAGCAGCGGAGCATGTTAAAACTTTGCTGGAGGCAAGTTTGATTCAGGAAGATAAAGCGGATTCGTTATTATCGCTTATATTTTCTGAAAATTTCGACCACTTTGAACAAGCAATATGTGAATTAGAAGCAAATATTTCTTTCAACAAATTCCATACAGAACTTAAGAAGCATTTAATAATAATCCGTGGTTTGCCAGGCAGCGGGAAATCGTTTCTTTCTTCCCAAATTGCAAGTTCAAATAAGAACATATCAGTGTCTATTTGTAGTGCAGATTATTACTTTGAGAGCCAGGAATGTGCATACCAATTCACGGGTGAAAAAATAGCAACGGCGCATGCGTATTGCCGGAACGAAATGATAAACTCCTTAAATGAAAAGACAGATTTGATAATAGTTGAAAACTCTCATTCACAGAGATGGGAATATCAGATCTACGAACGAATAGCATTGTTTTGCGGATATAATGTAACAATACTAGAAATACCTTGCAAAGATGAAAGTACAAGAATTAAATTTTATGAAAGATGTAAACACTCAGTTGCAAATCATATCCATGCAGCTATGTGGAAGCGTTGGGAGTCGGATTTTAAAGCTCGTTACATTGATAATAAATCTTTAGAATTCAGTTTAAGTAGCATAATAAACAATAAACAGGTCGTTAGAGCAGATAATGTTCTATATGCTGCTCTTTATTTGGATGATGAATCACGGCAATTGCTTTTAAAAGAGTTTCATGTGGTTCATGCAAATGTACATGCTGATCATATGACACTCATTTATAAGCCATCGTTAGAGGATTTAAACTCATTAGAATTAGGAAGTCATCATCAAGTTAAGGTGGTGGGATATATGTTAGATTCTGATGTTGAAGTGGCTGTTGTGGAAGCTTTAGATTTATGTAAGTTACCCCAACCACACATTACTATATCAACTAGCAAGCATGCTAGCCCAAAACAGTCTATAGCGGCCCTCACACGTCACGGTGAATGGGTTAAACCTAAAGAAGAAATTATTTTGCAAGGAGTTGTAGGTGTTCAAATAGCTATTAATGAACAAGAAAGCCGAAAGTGTCTAAAAAATTGTACGTTTGAAGGGTCAGCTAAAGGTAACTTAGTTAATGTTGAAAAATCCAATGAAAACGAAAGAGAAGTAGTTTTACCTGTAACAGCTCATATATATATTGGACCTTCGATTATACGATCATTGTACATTTTTGATTTTGATGGAACTTTATTTCACACACCTGGACCCGTTGATGGTAGGAATGCTTTTACAAAGTTGACAGGTAAAGTGTACATATCCGTACGTAATATTTTATGCTACTTTCTGTAAGTAGTTGAAAATTTTTGTTAAAAATACTTTTTTAAAAAAGAACATATTTATCATTTAACATCCACCTTTATTAAGTTGATTGTTTTATTCGTCAGTATCTCATAATAACCTAATTTTTATTTTAACTGTTTAATTTTTTTTTATAATTTATATATAGAAAAATTTAATTTATTCGATTAATATTGCATGTTCAGTTAAAGCATGAGATCGAAAAAAATGAGAAACGTAATCCACTTTCAAAATAAATTAACATTAAAAAAAAATATTATAATCACGTAATGATAGTAGTTGTCCAAAAATCATTAAAAAAAAAGAAATTCAAAAAATCTTGCACGTTCATAAAGAAAATCCATCATAGAACTACAAACGAGTCTCAAAAGCTGCTAGAATTCCTATATCTACTGTTAGAAGGGTTATAAAACGATGTAAGAAGGCTTTATCCATCGAACGAGCTAAAGGATCAGGAAGATAAAAAATTTTTAACAATAAATCAGTGGTAAATAAAATTCGTTTTTTTAGAAAGAAATCCAGGCTTGCCTAACAGAGATAGAGCCAAAAAGTTCAAAGTGAAAATTTTGGTGAGGAAAGTGAAGAAGTATTACAATTACAAGTCTTTCTGAGCACAGGGCCATCCCGAGAGGGGGGAGGGCGTAAGGGTGTCTAGCCCCCCTACAAATTTTAAAAGCCGGCCAAATGGGATCTATAGTTGACAGTATGCAAATGTCGGCCAAGAGGACCTTTTTTTTAGACAAGTTAGTAATGCAAAAAAAAGTTTTTGCTTTTAGTCGGCAAATACCAGATACCTAACCCCCCTTTTAAATCTCTTCGGGATGGATTTTTTTTTTTGCCATAATAAGACGAAGCGGGACGAAGAATTTTTGCCATATTTATCCATAAACTTGTGGATAAATATGGAAAAAATTGCTCTTATCGCAAGTAATTTGTAGAAGAGTAGAGCTATTGTGACGTCATCAGCTAACAGAAATTTAACACCAAAAAAACTCAATCGACCAAATTGCCTTTAATTCCGGCCCATCGAAAAATATTGGGGTATTGGCAAAAGATAATTACGTAAAACAAGAAAAACTATTAAATTAGTACAAAAATTACTGAAGGCATGGTCAACCATTAGCAAGAATTGCTGAAGACATGGTCAACCAGTAGCAAGAGTTACTGAAGACATGGTCAACCAGTAGCAAGAGTTACTGAAGACATGGTCAACCAGTAGCAATAGTTACTGAAGACATGGTCAACCAGCAGCAAGAGTTGCTGAAGGCATGGTCAACATTAGTAAAAAAATGACAATAACAGTTGTGCAAAAATTAATGGGAAATTAATTCCATCAACAGTAATTTTAAAAGAAAATTTTGTTTTATTAACATTACTGTAATGAACGATTATTTTTTAGAAACAGAGAAAAAAAACTTTTTGAAACTGAAAGTATTTTCATACTCTTTAATTTCTTAACTTAAAATTACAGAAATTTGTAAAAAACAGTTATTTTAAATATTTTTGAAAAAAATTTTCTTTCTCGTTGTTTTCGATCTCATGCTTTAAAATATGTTAGTCTGGTTAATAATAATTTGTTGTTGCTGTTGTCATAGGAACAAGATGGCCTCACAAAGGATGGCTATCTAACGTTGAATCTCTTCTTCATCCTTTATATATTTATCCAGGACCATCTCTACAAAACTATTACGAACACAAGAACAAATCATGTTCTTTATCAATCCTGCTAACAGGAAGATTGGAAAGAGTTCGAAATGGTGTTTTAGCCGTCCTTAATGAACACGAACTTACATTTTCACGGGTCATGTTGAAGCCAGAAGATGGGGGCAATGGATATAGAGATACAAAAGTTAATCTTTACAAACAAGAGTATGTGGAAAGTTTATTAAAAGAATTACCAACGGTAAAAGAGTTGAAATTTTGGGATGATAGAGAAGATAATGTCAAAATGATTAAGAGTCTCAGTAAGAAATTTCCAAATGTAAATTTTTTCGTGTATAATGTTCAGGAAAAGCAGCCATCTTTTTACGAGTTGACTCTTGAACAATTGTTAATTAGAATGGGCATTAGAAAAACCATTCAATATGACGAAGCTGTTAAATCTGGAATAGATTTTATTAAAGATGCTTGGAAGGCAGTTGTTGGAGATGACTACGGCAAGTGTTGTATACATCCGTTTGGCTCTTATTTACTTCAAAGAAGAGGAGATGTAGACTTATGCTTGTTTGCACCTAAAGATAAGTCTGTATCAATTTGTTTAGAAATGTTGAGCGAAAAACTTTTATCGTTTGGTTTAAAGTATGTCCATTGTGCTGCAAATATACGGTGTCCGCGACTGAAAATCAAAATTGAGTATTGTGATGCAGCGGACGTAGAGTTTGATATTACTGTAGCATGTGTACTAGATAATTCTCTAGACGAGTTTAACTATATAAAGTTATTGGAAAATTGCGAAGATCAAAAAAGTAAGGTTGCCCTTAAAGGACTTTTGTTCTTTGACAAAATTGTTAAACCGGCGTTATTCGGTGTTTGTTTAAAAGATTTTGGGCTGATTGTTGACCTGGTGTGCATACTTCTAAAGAAAAACAGATTAAAAGGCAACGTTTTTCATTGCATACGAACTTTTCATGTCGTTCAACTTGTGGCAGAATATATTTGTGTCGCACACGACGTTGGCGATTTAAATGAACTTAAAAATTGTGAAAAGTTTCTGAAAGATTTTTTTGGTTATTTAGTTAAAAAAGAAGAAGAAAAATGGGTACGACTATTTAAAAAATTTGTACCATTTATATATATAAGTTCCTTGGTGTCATTTTTCAAACATGCAGAAGCATGTACTTTAGAATATTTGATTTGTCACGGGCCACTATTGGATAAAAAAACCAACGTGAAAATACAAATTGAATCAGGCGATGAGGTGACTTTGTGGAAGGCTAAAATATTATTAGAAGCAAGTTTAGGGACATGTATTAGAAATCTTATCGTAAACGGCTATCATATTAATCCCGGTATGGCAATAGGAGACTTAATTACATTTAATGTAAGCCGCCTAAACGAGGCTAAAAGAACTATATTGATGGCAAAAAAAGAATTTGAAAATCAACTATCTAATACAAGACTAACTGTTACCTTAGTTGATTCTTAAGTTTTTTTTTAATGCAAGACTTGCTAATTTGTAGACGCAAGTAAAAACAAACATTTAAGGATTTCATTGTTAAATTTACGCATTTTCTCATACCACTATTTGTTTTCCTTATAAATTAAATTAAAAAAAAGAGTTTTATCTTTAAAAAAACTATTAATGCTAAGTTATTTAAAAATAAATTTTTGAAGTTCTTCATTCGTTCATGTTATTCATTAACTGATCTTTGTTTGATTCCTCGCAATATTCGTGATCTGCAGGAATCTTTAAAAAAATTGAAAAACTAAAAAACTTGTTCAATTATTGTAAAGTTTTCAAAGAAAAATATTCACCTCAAAATCTCCTTTGTCGTCAAAATGATCGTCATCAACAATGCTTTGGAAGAAATTTACTAGAAGTCCTATATATATATATATATATATATATATATATATATATATATATATATATATATATATATATATATATATATATATATATATATATATATATATATATATATATATATATATATATATATATATATATATATATATATATATATATATATATATGTTAGGCTCGTAGGAACAAAATTTATATTAAGGGAGGCAGTGTTGGTTTAAGGGGCATAAGCCCCTGCCGCCTCCGACCCCCCCCGGTTGTTACGGTGTGTGTATATATATGTATGTATGTATATATATATATATATATATATATATATATATATATATATATATATATATATATATATATATATATATAATAGATTAAAAATACTCATTAATGTATTTATTTGTATAGTATTTTTGCCAAGTAGGAAAGTTGAAATATAGAGTCATTTTAAATAAACCAATAACCTGTCATTAGTCCTCCAACAATAGCCAGAGTAAGAGAAACAAGTAATGCTGCAAGCTGAAAGCAACCTTGTTTAACGAGAGTTCTCTCTTCACCAAGCGTGTAAATGTTTAAAAAGCTGAAATTAAAAATATAGATCAATGATTAAAATTTACTAGACTCAATTTATCAACATCAGAATTGTAATAAATGAAACAAGCTACATCTTTTGTATATATATATATATATATATATATATATATATATATATATATATATATATATATATATATATATATATATATATATATATATATATATATATGCATATATATATATATATATATATATATATATATATATATATATATATATATATATTTTACGGGGAGGGGGAAAGGGAGGTGACGCTCCAAAGAAGCTGATTTTCAAGATAGACACACATGTCTAACTTCTATGCCGACGTTAAGTGTCGTCTTTATAAAGGATAGGCAAACTGAGATATGTAAGGATATGCGCAGCTAATGTATGGACTTTTAATACATCAGCTGGCTATAGGAATGTAGGAATAAGCGTAGTGAGTTTGCATACATCAGTTTTTAGTTAATAAACTTTTAACTTGTGAAAAAGTTCTTTAGTATTAATTCTATAACCATAAACTTGCTTTGAAATCATATTAAATTTTCTTACGTTTCAAATAGTGCTGCAGAGCAAGTTAAATATATGTTTAATAAAATTTCTATACCCACTGTAACGCTTTACAAAGTTGTCCAGTTAATAATAAGACAGCTATAATGTATTGTGAAATTATTAAAAATTGTTGTTATTGTTTGACGTCTCGACTTTTAAATAATATTGCACTATATCGGCTTTTAAAATAATAATGTATAATATTGTTTCAAATAATAATAATTGGCTTTTAATATAATAATGCACGATATTGATGATTGAGAAATACTACGAAAAAATAAGTAAGGGGTTATTAACAAATTGTATCATGCAACTTTTGACCGTTTTAGACCCCCTTGCCTTCCTCGTCACAACATCGTGACTCTTTAGTAAAACGTTCCGTATGAGTCATCATAAAACCATCAACCCCTCCCCCTAAAACGTTAAGTAATTTATGGACGATCCCTAAGATTTTGATACCTCCGTAGCCCATTAAGAAGACATCAATAAAGATTTTAAAACATACCAGTCTATAATTATGACATTTAGGCAGGTGCGCATTACAATTAAAATTATTATTCCGACTAGGGATTTCGATAAAAATTCATCGAAACACAACTATATCTAAATAATCGATCAAATAGTTTAAATAAAATACATCTTTGATGACTTCAGTCAAACTCGATGACTCAGAAAAAACTCATACACCGTAACTTAAAGTAACTTTGCGCAAAAATTTGAAATTTTTGTTTTGTGTTTCTAACAATCGGCTTTAAACTTCTCTAATTTAAAAAAAAAACTTGTCAAAAATTTTCTTTAAACAACCTAAAAACTGTTATTATTAAATTTTTTTTTTTAACTATTTAAGAAATATTTTTGATGGGTGTCTAAATTTATCCTAAATTAATCGGGGTTATGGCTAACTTTTCACAGTCTTATAAAGTTTGAAAAATTCTTTACCGTTTATATGAATATTGTTATTTGCACTCTTTTTATTATATTGTTCAAAGGAAATTCTAGCGAGAGTTTAAAGACGAATAAAAATAAATAAAAAGATTTACTATTGTTTTGGTTAATAAAAAAGTTAACACGATAAAAGAAATACAGCCATATTTAAAACTAAAAACACAAAGTTTCTTTCAATGTATGCAATTATATACTTATTAAATAAAAAATAAAAGCTAACTAAACAAATTTCAAGAAAAATGAAAGTCTAATAGAGGTAATTTGTAAAGTTCTCTAGTTTAGGTTATTTTTTAAGGCTCCTTAATGTAAAATAAATATTGTCAAGTCATAAAAATCTTCTTGTGTGTCAGACAAGCATTTAATATTTTTACCATTGGCTTCACATAAGTACTGTTTACCTTAACAATTGTAATTTGTCCAGGAAAGAGTCATGTGTCAAATTTTCTGAGCTTGATTTCTCATTCTTACTCTTTTTGTTGACAAGTTTATTTTCATTACTTCTCAATGATTTCAAGCTAGAACTGAGATCATCTCTTTTGGCTTTTCTTCAGATTGAATTTTTGACATTAAGCTCTTCGTGTTTTTGTTTCGTTTTTTTTTGCAAACATTTAGCTGATATCAAAACTCTTATCAAATTATTCTAAATCTTCTGTGCACAACACTTTTCCCTGCAGGAACAGAAAGCTTTTTTTCGTTTCTTAGTTCCTGAAGATTGCAAGGATTTATATTTTTCTTGTAAAAAAATCTTAAAGCTGTCTTCTAAAAATTCTTTATCGTACGATTTTCTCTTTCTAAATTGTGTGAGAAGTTGATTGACATTTACTGGATGAATACCACACTTTCTAAAACCGGAATTTAAGTTGTTTGCCTGATTTGGTTCTATAGCAATCAATAACTAGTTTAAAAGTTAAAAAAAATATTGTTTATTAAGGAATGTTTTTGTGCAGCCGGCAGGAGAATCATTGTACTCTGTAATAATTCTACGTCAAGTTGTTTTTAAAGGTTTAAGAAAGCCATATCTAAAGGTTGAGCTAGATGCCTCTATTAGGTGACAGGCAAATAAATAGTATTTCATTTTAACATAGGCCTTAGTTCCTTTTGGAGAGATATGAGAGAATTAGTTATCGCCTAACAAACTTTAACTCCTAATTTTTTTTAAAGGAGGTAAAATTATAGGAAAAAACCACTCTTTAAAAGTTGCTCCGTCAAACCAACCACTTTTAGTGTTAAAGTATCTGACTCCTTCAAGACCTCCAGCACACCAAGTTGACCACAGATTTACAGCCTTATAAACTACAAAATCAGGTAATGTTGCAGGTGGTAGAACTTCACCTGCAGTATTAACTGATATCATAATAGAAATACTTGTCTTAGAAGTGTTTCTTATATTTGCTGGGTATTTATTACCTCTCTTAACCGAGTAATTTTTTGAGCCTGGGTCATAAGTCAAATTTGTTTCATCGTAATTATATATGTTGCCTATAGGTACATATTTTACAATATGGGGTTGTCCGTAAATTACGTCACGCTTTGGGGGAGGGGAGAGGGAGGCGATTTTGTGACGATTTGTTACGAGGAGAAGAAGGAGGGGTCTCGATTTTGTGACGCAACATTTTTTTTTTTCTAGAGAAGACTTTTTTTTAATTAGAAGAGTATCTGACCAAACCAAAACCCTCAGTTACTGTATCTTGTATATACCCTCAGTTGATGTATGTACATGTTGATTGTAACTACGCCTAAATCCTACTTAGTCGATGTGTAATTCCATTAAAGGAGTAGTTACAGCCTGTTAACGGACTGTTACGGCTGTTTGTGCAGTGTACGTTCTGCGCTTTGAATTTATATGGTTCAAGAGCAAAACTTTATTTAGTCGGTGCACAATAGTGTGCAGCAACAAAAATACAATCTTTATGTACTATCTAAAGAAAAAAAAATCAATTTCGAGAGACGAACTCAGAATCCTCGGTTTACTTGCCGGAAGCAGAATCCACTAGACCAAGCTTACGCAATGTATTTTTTATTTAACTAATTATTTATTTATTCTTTTCATCACCCAAATGCTTTCTTCCATTTTTAGGGGTTTTATTATAAACTTCCCCCCCCCCTCACACTTCCTCCCCCCCCCCCCCCTTCCTCCTGTCATTATAGTTTGACGGTTGCGTTACGAGGGGAGAGGGGGTTAAAAACTTCAAAAACCGTGTGACGTAGTTTATGGACAACCCCTTTTGGATAATTGCTAAATATAATCCTTTAAAATTTCTTCTTTAACGAGATTTTTTTAAGTTTGGCACAAATTTACCTGAAAGCTGTGAATGTCTTTGTAAAAATAAGTTGACTAAATCAGGCTCAGAAAAGACTATAGACTCTTATACTTTTTTCCTGAACTAATTAGATAATTATTCATAAAAATGACGTAAATCTTCTTTACCGATTGGAAATCTAAAATCACTCAATTGAATGGTAACTTTACTGAATACAATACGGTAAACTGTATACTAAAATTTTTAGTATACCGTATACTAGCGATCCCTTTATACAACTTTATTTTCAACTTAATTTTGTTCAAAAAACAAAATTGTGTTGAAATTATAAACCGTTATTACAAAAAGTATATTATTACATGTCATATAAATAAGAAATTTCATTATTATAATATATAATGGCATCATTGAATATAAATTATTATTATCTTTCTTTTTTTAAATCTTTATCTTTGTTAATCGTTAAGATGTTTATTTAAAATTCTTGTCTTTTAAATCTTTACTTGTTATATCTCTATCTTTTAAACAATATTTTCAACATTACGTTTTCTGTTCCTTGTTTACTAATTAAACTAAAAATAAACTATTTCAAACTTACTCATCTTTATCATAATAACTTTTTGGTTTAATAGCTGCCGCCGCTACTGCTCCACATAATGCACCAAATACACCGGGCATTCCGTGTAAATTATGAACACCGCAAGTGTCGTGTATTTTATGTTTATTTAATATTGGCTGCACAAAAAGAATATTTAATAAAGTAATAATAGAGTGAAATTTTATAAAGTGACAATAATGTAGGTATTGAAAAATATTTCAAGTAAAATTAGCATAAAAATGTACTTTACATACCGTAAGGTAATTGTATCCAAGTACGCTTATACAACCAGCAAACATCCCGATCATTATTGCTCCCCAGGGTTTTATCATCAGATCTGCACATGTTCCGACTGCAACTCCTCCAGCAAGTGTTGCATTTTGAATATGAACCTTATAACAAAATATTCATTAGGAGTCGTCAATAAAGTGCGTACGCTTTTTTTTCGTCGACCTTCTCCCCCCCCCTTCCCTCCGCATTTTGAAATACGCTTTTTTGAGTACCCTTCACCTCCCTAAAAGTATCTACGCTTTTATCCTATTTATCTAACATTTTATGATACTTTTTTTAATTTAATGTCTCCTTTCTTTTATAGTTGACCCACTGCTCTCCCATACAGCTGAATACTAATATATATATATATATATATATATATATATATATATATATATATATATATATATATATATATATATATATATATATATATATATATATATATATATATATATATATATATATATATATATATATATATATATATATATATATATATATATATATATATATATATATATATATATATATTACTACAACTTAGCTACTATAATTGCAGTAAAATTCTAACGATTACAGCTGAATACTAACTGTTACAGCTAAACGTAGTTACGTTTAGCGTGAAGTAGTCAGTTTACTTTTTTAAAGATTTTGAAAGCGCCAATATATTTATATATTTATAAGTTTGAAATAACAATTTTGAAATTCAAATAATACCATGTTTAACTTAAATTTCTTGTTGACAAAGGAAGAACACGCGAATGAAGTTAAAACACAAGCTGCCAGGGAAAAGTATGTGTTTACCAAAGCTCGACTTTGTTGAATTGATTTGTCTCCAAGTAAACCGGCATTAAAACTTGGCCAAAATACCCATAAAAACAATGTGCCTAAAAGTAATATTGTTGTGAGACTTATACATATATCGTTGTGAGACTATATCGTGTAAAAAAGCATGTACAAACCTAATGAAAAAAAGTAAAATTTACAAAAATTTATTAATTGAAAATTTCATCTATGTTTTTGTTTTTTTGTAATGTTTGTATGTTTGTATGTTTGTATGTTTTTTACATAATTACCATTTTACAAAACTGTATTTTGTTTTCCTGGAAATCGTTGTTTATTAACTTTAATTAATATTATATTATTGATCTAAATATTGTACTATTATCCTGAATACATAGTTAGCTGAAGCCATAGAGGCATAGTTTTTTCTGTGTTCAGATCAATTAAAAAGATTAGATTATATATCTTTATATTTAGTTATAACTTTGTTTACCAATCATAGAGAAGATATCAGAATGGTATTCGGATCCTTCTTTATGTTTTAAATCTGAATGGTTTTTTAAGATAAATGAAACTGCCAGTCCAAAGTAAGCACCGAACACATGCAGTACAATTGTCCCTCCAACGTCTGAAATTTTTAGATATTCCATAATTATGTTTTCGTTGATAGCAAAGATCACACATTCTACAATAGTCATCACAAAAAGCTGGACACGACTAGCCTTGCCGATAACTGCACCATAAGAAATGAGAACAGCTGTCGCCGTAAAATCAGCCGTTATCATGCTGTAAAAAAAAATTAACATTTGTATAAACTTATACTTTGTATAATAAAAATAAACAACTTTGTAATGTTAAATTAAAATAATTTTACATTATGAAGTTGGTTTTAAAATTTTGAATTTGGGATTAGTTAAAAGAGATCGATGTGACATATTTTATAGTTATAAACGTAAACAACATTTTTTTGATTTTATGGTATAAATTATGTTATGGTATTGTGTATGCACATTGTACTAATTATTAAATATATTTTATATATTGATTGAGACTAGACCAAAAAAAAAAGAAAAGAAATTGAGACAAATTAAATATACTTATAAATTGATTGAGACTAGACCAAAAAAAAAAAGACAAGAAATTGAGACAAAAGCATAGCAAACAACAGATAAAAAAAAAAAAAACAAGCGGTGTTACTCTTTTTGTATCAATTATCACCAATTTTTTACCTCATGCCAGAAATTTATTGAAGCAGAAAAAAGGTAAGAATTAGAAAGAGTATTAACAGAAATTATCTTGGCTATATAATTAATCAAGTAGGAACGTTAGACAAACTAGAGTGAGAACAAAGTAAAGTTATGTCATTTTTCATGGAACTGTTTTTGTACGAACATAAATTTTAACGATATATCGCGTAATTATCCAATAACATTCCATTAAAAAAAAAAAATTAGATCATAATTTTTCAAAAATATCATAAGCAATTTAAACAAGAAAAACTTAAGAGAAAAATTTCATTATAAATATGGCTGATATTGAGCCAGATTTCGCTGTAAAAATTAGCCATTGACAAAGAAATAAAAATTGATTCAAGTAAATAATCCAGAAACCATAAATTTTACAGTCGTTACAAAAAATAGAACATTGAGAAAAAAAAACGTAAATTTTTTCAAAACTGATTAATATATCTTCTAAAAATAAGTATAAATCTGGCAATAATATGACCGCACACAAAATAAAATTTTAATAAGGTCCTTGTTAAAAAAACGTTCTATAGGAATGTAAAAATCTTTAGCAAAAGTTAAGGACCAAACAGGTTAAGATCTAAAATGTCTAAAACTTGTATAATTGCATCTCTAACTAAGGTATGCTAGAACAAGTGCTTTAAATTTGATTGTGATTTTTTTCGTGATTTGTTCTTGATAATTCGAATCAATTAGTTCTCATGTTTGATGACATAAATGGGTTAGATAAAAAAAAGTGAGGAAAAAGTTTTCAGTATTATTAATTAAATAATTTTTGCATAGACATAGAAATAACGGACCAAATGAACGCTTAATCGGATCAAACCGATTAACGAACAATAAAAATCAAATAACTTTATTGTTTGCTTAAAATTTTAAAAATATTTTTTTTTTTTCAATAAAATAGAGAATACCAAAAAATAAATTATTTATTAATTTTTTTTATCGTGTTTTAAAGTATGAAAACAAAAAGAAAAAAAATGATCGCTTTTGGCAAAAATTCTGTTAAAACCGATCAATATAAAATGTATTTAATAAATTAATCATTTTGCATATCTAAATGTATATATTTTTTATATAGCTTTATATATATCTAAATGTATATATTTTTTATATATTTTTTATATATTTGCTATATATTTTTGTTTAGCATACAGAAATAATAAAAGACTCAAGTTTTACATTTTAAACAACAACAAAAATTCTGAACCCAATACAGCTCGTTTAGCTCAAATAGATAGTGCGCTGCATTACAAACCGGCGATTCCGGGTACGAATCAAACTAGCGACAATTGAGCAGCCGTGGCGCAGTGGTAGTGCGCTTGCCTTAGATACAGATGATCTGTTTGAGCGAATCCTCTAGATCCGTTTGAACTGATCCTCAAGATCCGTTTGAACGGATCCTCAAGATCCGTTTGAACGGATCCTCTAGATACAGAGAGGATCCGTTCCTCTCTGTATCTAGAGGATACAGAGAGGAACGTATCTTCTCTATATCTTTGTACAAAAATTGATTTGTACGAAAAAAGAAACCACATACAAAGTCCATGACATCATTTCGTGTTAAACCATGACACAATCGCATAGGAAGTTAAACTTATGTACCTTCGTTGAATCTGTTTGCTATGAGAGTACGGTTGTTGATCCTGATCCTTTGAAGCTGGTATTATTGTTGCTCTTGCAACCTGTTAAAGTTGTTAATGGAATTCCATATTTGAATGCAGTTTTTCTGATTGAAGTATTTTTCTTTATTTATATTATTTAGCACAGCTTTTATAACTTTTCTGATTAAAGTATTTTTTTTTCTTTTATGTTATTTAACTTAGAAATAAGTTAATATATCTTCTATTCTATTTCTATTATATTTTTATTTAGAATAGAATAACTATCTTCAATATATCTTCTCTTTTATTAGATAAAGGTGTATTTGTTGATATACCTATATCTTTAATATCTACCATTGCTGTCAATTAAATTGTTGATGAAGAGCAAAAAAAAAAGCGATCCTAAAACCAAACCCTGAGGTATTCCGCTAAGTACATTTCTCTGATTGTGTCTTACATGAGGTTGGTTTTTTAGAGTTCTGTGTTGGATTTTGTGATTAAAAACTCTGACTCTCATATACAAATGGTATTGATACCAACTGCTCTAAAGAAATTCTCCGCTGTCTGTTTATTTGTATCATATTTGCCTGAGACCTCCAGTTCCACCACTATAACACTTGATTTTTTTTTCTGTCTTTGTTTCTGCTCATGTGCTGCCTAATTTAGAGAAAGATGCTAATTATTGTTTCTTTTATTAGATTTGCTGTTAAAGAGAAATGAGAATGTTACCGGTTGAAGATTGTTAAGATTGATTAAAGATTTTTTCGAAGTTTGGTTTTCTGCTTCTAAAGTAGAGACTTTGTATTGTAATAGCAGTTGTATTGGCTTTGATCAGTTATCTTTTTATGGACATGTTTGACTTATTAGACAGGAACTTATTACACAGAGACTAAAAAGTTTTAGGGCCTTTTTTTTTTTCATAAAATCCCAGCCAGCATTGTGATGCGAGTCCGTGTCAATCCCGTCCGGAATGTCAAATGGAAACCGTGCGGGATTTGGCCGCGGGATCTATATAGGTACTATACGGGCTAAATAAAGAAAAAACGAAATATTTATCGGCTGCTTTCTCTGTTTTACCCTATTGACCCCACAATTTACCCGGATATATTTTTTTATTTTTTACTATACATAACTCAGATTTTTTACACCTTAAATAAACGACAATTTGATTAAAGAAATTTTTTTAATTTTAAACAAATTAAATGATTAATTTAATTATGATTATTTTTTATAAATTTTTTTAAAAGGCTAAATGTTTTATATAAAAATTGAAAACACAAGGACAAATACATGTATGTTATATTAAATAAAATAAACTGTTATTACAAATGAAATCTGTATATATATATATATATATATATATATATATATATATATATATATATATATATATATATATAATATATATATATATATATATATATATATATATATATATATATATATATATATATATATATATATATATATATATATATATATATATATATACAAGTGTTCACTTCGTTAAGTTACATGTTTGCTGCTGCTTTATTTACATTCTATATGTTCTTTTCAGTGTTTGATGCTGTATTTGAAATTCGTTTTTTTTTTGGCCGTCTTTGCCTTTTTCTCGAGCATTACCGAACCAAGAAGAAAGTGCTTTTTTAAGTAGTTTTTTCGATAAATTTTGTTTTGATTTATAATTTTTTTTTGCAGCACCTAAACATACGTTAGTTGAAATAAATTGTAAAAGAAATGTTACGGAAGTAAATTTTTTTGCAATATATTTTTTCCAAAAGTATGGCGTTTCAACATATTATTATAAAATATTATGATTTGATTTAGTAAGTATATCTTCTTGGTTTAGTAGGTATACATTGATTAAATATGTAATAACAATTTATTTCTTTTAATAAAACATACATTTATATGTCCTTGAGTTTTCAATTTGCATACAAAACATTTAGCCTTTTAAACTTTTATAAAAATTATTTTAATTAAATTGATCATTTAATTTGTTTAAAATTAAAAAAATAGCTTTAACAAATTATTGTTAATTTAAGGTATAACAAATCTAAGTTATACATAGTAAAAAATAAAAAAATATGTACGGGAAAATTCTGGGGTTAATAGGGAAAAAAAAAAAGTAGCAGATAAATTTTTTGTTTTTCTTTATTTGGCTTGTATGGTACCCATATAGATCCCGAGGCCAAATCCCGTACGGTTCCTATTTGACATCCCGTACGGGTCCCACACGGCACCCGCAGCTCAATGCTGGCTTGGATATTTTCAAAAAATATATGTATAAATGTATAAAAGAAAAGAAAAATGTATCTTGAAAAATATATTTTTGTAAAACACCTAATCGGTATGTTAGGAAAAAAAACCACCAGTTATGCAAAAAAATATTTGAGATTTTTGAGCGCGAAAATGACATCAGTTTATCAAACTTAATGCAAAAGTTTTCATTTTTTATTAATTGATACGAAATAGTTTTTTTCTTATTTGGTATGAATGATACAACATTGTAAAATATCTGTATTCTAATTACAGATTTTGTTTAAAAAAATAGATGTATTTAAACGAGTATTAGGTTTATGAATTTCAAATCAATCATTATTATGGATATTTGCTGCATGAAATTTGTATAACATAACAAGTCTGCATTTTATCAAATATTACTAAACCTTGAAATATAAAAATCAATGTTGTATTATTATAACAAATAAGATAATAAATATTTGGGAAGTATTTCTTTAAATTTCATTATTTTCTTAGTAAATATGGAAATGTAAAGAAATAATTTTTACATATATGTTCCACATAAATTTGAAAAGCATTTTTTTAATTTTCTATATTTACTAAGCGTTTACTTTTTTCTTAATTTTTTTTTTTTTTTAATTTGAGGTTGTCGGGTCAGCTTGTTTTTTTCATCGCTAATATTTTACATTTCTAGGTGCATAATTTTTAAATTCTCTTAATAATAATAGTAAAAACAATTAAAATAAAAATAATAATGGCATATTTATTTATTTCAGTAATCAATACAAATTCCACATATAAAGTTTAGAATTGATGAAGGGAAGCACATCAGACTTTCCTATGCTGACTATGTACATTGCTGCATCTTAAACGTGTTTTTAAAAAAGTACAATCTTGGTGCATCAACTACATTCTGAGTTAATTTGTTCCATCGGTTAGTTACATGGTTTGTAAAAAAGTTCTGACGTTTTAAATTACTTTTGATCAGTTGCGATTACTTTTGATCAGTTGCGATCAGATTATATCGTGAATTTAATAAGAAAGGTTTTAATTGTGGTACGTTTAAAATTCAAATTTTTGTAACTGATGAACGATTTTGTATTGCAGTATAAGGTCACTGCGAATTCTACGTTCTTCCAGCGTAGTTAGACCAAGTATTTGTAGTCTTTTTTTAAAATGTTTAATCGACGATATAGTGTTGCACGTTTTTGCACACATTCGAGAAGGAAGATTTTCTATTTAAAATCTGGAGACCGGGCTTGTACACAAAACCTTAGATGCGGTTGAATGTAAAGCGGGTACAATTTTTTCCAAAGTATTTCATAATCAGAGGATGATTGATTATTATTTATAACTCCTATGATCTTGCTATCATCGGCGTATAACTTGGTATAACTGCAAATTATACCGAGTTATACGCCATCTGGATAGTCATTGACAAAGAGCAAAAATAGCATTGGCTCAAATACTAATCCTTGATGGACTCCACTCGTCACTCTTTTCCACTCGGAAGTTTGTTTCCTAATAACTACACGTTGTTTTATTTCACTTAGCCAAGCAGAGATCCAGTGTATTAGCTGGTCTCTGATGCCATAGGCCTGAATCTTGTGAAAGAGTCTTTTGTGTGGTGCTATGTCAAAAACTTTGGTAAAGTCTGTAATAGTTATGTCTACAAGGTGTCTACGGTAGGCTGCCTCCCTGAGAATATCACGGGATTCAATTAGGTTTGTAAAGCAACTTTTGTGATTTACAAATCCATGCTGAGACGTTTAAATTAGATTGTGTAGTGTACAGTGTTTCATTATCCTCTCTTTTATAATTCTCTCCATTACCTTGCACGGTACAGAGGTGAGAGATACCGGCCTATAGTTACTAGCCTTGAGTTTGTTTCCTTTTTTGAAGGTAGGAATAATACTTGATCTACACCAAAAATCTAGGATATTTCCAGTTCAAAAGGATTTTGTGAAAATGAGTAAAAGAGGTTTTGCAAAAGCCTTTGCGCAGTTTTGTACTGTAGCAGCTGTAAACAAACTTTCTTCAATTTCGCAAGTTGGTGTTGTTCTTTCTTCCAATATTGGTAAAGATGTTGGGGGTTCTTCGACAAAAGTTGAATGAAAATAATTTTTTATCGTTAAACTTGTAGCTTTAAAGTTTTTGGTGATGTTACCATCGCTAGTTTCAAGCATACTAATGTGATTAAATACCTCAAGCTTGTTTTGTACGTGTGAGTATAGACGTTTTGTTATTTTCTTGAAACTGCTTACTAGTTGTTTTTCGTAGTGAAAGACAGCCGCATTGACCACTTTTTTCACGCGTTTGTATGCAGCTTGATGTTCATTACGTAATTTTGCATGGGAATCTTTACCTGCAGCAACGTATTTTTACCAAGTTGCACGTTTTAATTTTATTGCTTCTGATACTTTTGGTGTGACCCAAAGATCTTACTTAGTTTTAAATGGAGTCGTGCAGTTTTACAGCTTCGTTGTATACTTCAATAAACCAACCGTACAGATCGTTTACAGAGAGATTGATTGGTATTACTTTAGAAGTTATATGTAAAAAAATTGCATCGAAATTTGCTTTACTCCAGATAAGCCGTCAGCGACTAGGACATGTTAGTTTGTTCTTGTTGAAGTATACTGCAAAAAGACCGACAAAAAGACTGTGAGCTTTTCCCATTGGTGAATGACCGAGCGAATTTCCTTCGTTTATTGAGATTAGGCCATCAGGATTATTGGTGATGACGAGGTGAAGCGTGTTACTTGGAGTTGCAAGCATGTTATTGCGGTATGTTGGAAATGTTACTAGTTGATTTAAATAGCAGTCTTAAGATACTCTCGGAATTTGATTTTACCGGGATGTTGTTCAGTTACATGACCGGTTGTTTCTACACCACCACCAACATTGCATAATTTATAACTGGTGTGGCTAAAATTAAAATCACCATATAAAAGCATTGTTAAACACTTTAATTCCGGCAATACCTGTTGCGCTGCTTTAATAAAGGCAAGACTCTGAGTGAGCGCGTCATCATTTTTATCTATTGGGCGGTGCATACAACCAAGAAGTATTGATTCGTTTTCAAAATGTATTACGAGCCCGATTTGTTCCACGGATGTCGAGATGAGTATGACGTCGGTAACCTCGCTGTTAGCAAGTCCATCTTTGTTGTAGAAAAAGTCCATCTTTGTTGAAGAGGTCCATCTTTGTTGTAGAGGGGGCAGTTTTTTGCAAAACTGCCCCCTCTACCATCTTGGTCTGTATTATGCAGCTAATAGCCAACAATGGTAGTGTCTGACGTAGCACTGAACCAGGTTTCAGAAAAGAATATTACGTGTGGCTATTCAGGTTTGTCAATAGAAGTAAGCCTTGCTACAAATTCATGGAGTTTTTTTCTGTTTAATAAGCATGGGTTATTGGCCCAGAAGCGGAAGAGGTTTATCGAAGGTAACTTTGAATGTGGCAAAGTAGCCTGTGACTGCAGGTCTTGTAGTTAGTTGTTTGGCGAATGTTGTTTAGGTTTTGGTTTGGTTTGTGGGTTTGGGTTTATATTATGTGGTTGCAATTTGCACGATTATAAAAAGACGTTTGCGGTGCTGTGCAAGGGTGCTTGCTGGGGAGGCGAAGACATATTTATGATGTTCATATGACTTTTGAACATCAATGCAGCAGATTTATCCTGTACGTTTGTGGATAACATTCCGAAATGATCTGTCAATTATATCCGCAGCGTATAGTTTGTCGTTAAGTTTTATCATTTTACTTCGTAGCTGATTGAATTCCTCCTGTTGTGAATAAGTTCGATCTTTACGACAGAAAATTCCTTTGAGTTCAGCAATATTATGGCAACTACATTTCTGAAGCACTTCTGATCGAGAAAGTTCATTTATTAAAGAGACCTTGACTATGTTGGAGTTATGGATTGTGTTGTTTATCTTGTTAGATTTTATTCTGCTTATTTTGGCACTGTCAACTCCACAATTGGCTTTGTCAATTTTAAGTTTCAGCCGTGACGATGTTGATTATTCGATGGCGTTGCTGGATTTCCTCAGCTGATTTACCCATAAGTATGATTGCAAATGATTTCAATTTGTTGGATAATGGTGCACTCTTTAGCTTTTTGTTAAGCTCATCTATCCGAGTGTTTAATATACGTTCAGACTTTTTATTTGTATTGTTCATTATTTTTATCGCTGCTTTGCTTAAAACATTATTTTCTCGCGCGAATCAGAGTAAGCCTTAATTTTTCTATCAAAAGGTTTTCCGTGGAAATTTAAACTTTCTACGATACTCGCTACCTCAGTTTCAAGCAACTTGATTATTTTTGCGTTGTTGTAAGTATCTTTTTCAACTTTAGCCATTCGATCATTAGTCATTTTTGTATTTGCACTTATTATGCATATAAAATTTTTTTCTTGTTCTTTAAACATTAACTCCGTTTTTTTTTTTGCATACTGAGTACATTTCTTCCAATACTTTTTTTCTAGTTTCATTAGTAAATTCCATTGCTGCCATTATTTATTTATTATTTTTAATACTATTCTAATTAACACAAAAAGGTTATATTTTAAATGTGTTTACTTTCGCTTATTTATATAAACTTTTTTCATTAAATCTTTATTAAATTATTAAATTTTTAGTTATATAAATACTAAAAATTAAAATAACTTCAATTTATTTTCTTTAAGTTATAGCACTTGCAAAAACATATCTGCTCACGAAGAAAGCATCCGGCAAAAAAAAATAACAATAACAACAGTTTTAATAATAATACAATATCAACAGTTTTGATAATAGTAATAAAAATTGAAATAATAAAAAATTAAAAAAAGAAGCAAAAAAAGACAGCTCACTCTGTCACTCCAACTTTAATTTTAGTTGGATTGCCTTCAAAATGATTGCTATTTTTTTGCATTCGTTGTTTTATCCATGCATTTATAAGTGTTGCCCATTGAATTGTGGCTGCGGCTAAGAGTAAGTTGTATGAAAGAGCTCCATAGCCATACTTTTTCAAAAAAGTCATCAAAAAACCAAAACCAATGAAAATCATAACATGAATGTCTTGAAATTCTATAATATATATATATATATATATATATATAATATATATATATATATATATATATATATATATATACATATGCCATATTTATATATATATATATATATATATATATATATATATATATATATATATATATATATATATATATATATATATATATATATATATATATATATATCAGTCTTACTTTTTAGTTGTTTTATTTATAAAGTGTTAGTTATCTTTTACTCAAAATTTTGTTTTGATTAATAAAAAAGTTATCCAAAAATGAAGCCAATGCCATTAATTGAACAAGTGTATTATTGTAATTTGCATCCTAACGCTAAAACGAAGAGCATCGTAGAGTACTTTGTTGCTTCTAATCACCCTGAAAGAACCATCAAACGTTATATGGCAAATTGGAAGAAAAATGAATTAAAGTCTTGTAAACCTGGATCAGACAGAAAACCAAAAATTATGACTACTAGAAGCATCAGTTGCCTGAAAGGTCTTTTGAACAACCGGTCTGGAACTTCAAGAAGAAAAATTACAAATAAATTCAAGTGTGATCATTCCTACATTGACATACAAAAACATTAAAAAACAAAACAAATATTTGTAATTTTAAGAAAAAACAAATCCCTGATCGCATTGATAAATAGTAAAAGCAGTTGCGACTGAAGTGTGAAAGTGTGAAGAAGTGTCACGGTTTCTGAATTTTTCGATAACTCAGAAACCGTGGCTTTGTCATTGACGATGAGTCTTTTTTACATTTAAACATATGAATAGAAATTCTAATGCTGAATTTTTCTCAGATGAAGCAAAAAATGCATCAAAACATGTAAAGTATGAGCGCAAGAGCAAATTTGAAAAATATATTCTTGGATTACCATATCCCCTTGTGGAATCTCAAAACTATTTATTGTTTCTACAAGACTGGCAATTAATAAAACAGTGTACAAAAATGATTGCATCATCAAAAGACTGGTTGCTTTTATCAACAAACATCACAGTGATGGTAATTATGTGTTCTGGCCTGACTTGGCCTCTTCACATTATGCTAGAAGTGTGACCAATTACCTCGATGCGAAAAATATCCGTTATGTAACGAAGTTGATAACCAGGCATGTGTCCCAGAATTACGACCAATAGAAAATTTCTGGTCAATCCTTAAATGCAACGTGTATGAAAACAATTAGTAAGCTGAAAATGAAGATCAGCTGCAAAAATAAATCCATTTTTGTTAAAGAAAAGTTGATAAAAATCATGAACGAGGCATGTGCGAACATGTATACATATATGTATGTATATATATGTGTGTGTATATATATATATATATATATATATATATATATATATATATATATATATATATATATATATATATATATATATATATATATATACATATATATATATATATATATATATATATATATATATATATATATATATATATATATATATATATATATATATATATATATATATATATATATATACACTTTTATTTTGCTGATTAAACAGTTACAATAACAATTTTCATATAATCATGTAAAAAATACATAAAATACACGTCGTAAAGATAAACATGACAAAAAACGTTTTTTTCATAATTTTTTATTTTATACTATTTATATTCTGTTCTAATCAGTCAGGGACTCAAAGAAGGTAAGGATGATGTGTTTAACAGCACAACCTTTTCATAGAGCCCCTATAGTCACTCATAAAGACAATTTAATTTTTAAAAATAAAATAAAAATTCAATAAAAACAAAGCTCATATTTTTTTAGTGTAACAAATTCAAAAACAAAAAATAATAAAAACAAGAAAAATAATATATATATATATATATATATATATATATATATATATATATATATATATATATATATATATATATATATTCATCAATAAACTTTAAATTTGGGCATTTTTGTTCTCATATATTTAGACACAATTATCCCTAACATGAGAGCAACAAGTTCATAAAATATATCTTTCACTTTTCTCAAATAAATTAATTTCATTAATAAATTTTAAATTTCAATAACTAATCTCATAACGTTCAAAAACTTTGACTATTTAAAGTTTGAGGGGTTTAAAAGTTGTATAAGGTCATAACTTATGAACGCTAAGAGATAATTGTTATATATATATATATATATATATATATATATATATATATATATATATATATATATATATATATATATATATATATATGTATATATATCTTTATAGAGTAGTCGAAAGAGTCGTTTAATGTAAAAAAAGTCTCTTTTGACTACAATTTTAATTACCTCGTCTCTTAAGCTGTATTTGATTGTTGTCGAAATATCAATGCAATTAAATTAATGCGGAAGTACATTAAATTTTATAGTTTTTTAAAAATTTTTAAAAAACCGCAATAATAACGACTAGAAAGTTTTTTTTAATTAGTGGTGTTTTTGTTTTTGTTTTATTAAAAAACATTTTTAAACATGGGTAAATGTTGCTACATTGGCTATCTTATAGCCTGCTGCTTCAAGTGAGTGTTTCTACATCAACTATCTTATAGCCTAACTCGCAACGGAGTGCTGTTACATCGACTGACAAATAGCCTGACTCGCAAGGGAGTGCTGCTACATCGACTGAGGGTTTGGTTTGGGCAGGCAGTCTATCATTTAAAAAAAAAAAATTTAAGTTTTTAAACTTTTTCTGGTCTGGTTTATTAACACGCTCTTTAAAACTACAGTTTATGGGAAACTCTTTCTGACTACCATGCAAGAGTATATATATATATATATATATATATATATATATATATATATATATATATATATATATATATATATATATATATATATATACACACACATATGCACACACACACGCACATAAATTTATTACAAGACAATAATTTTGCAATAAAAAAGTTTTTTTTTATGTCTTTTCTTTTATATAGCATTTTATTTAATGTAATAGTTTAATGCAATGTTATAGGTAATAAACAAATCAGTAAGTTAAACTAGATCTGCTACATTACGTTATGTTAAGAGTAGTTAAACAAGATGAAAGTAAAATTCACACAATAAGTAATGCTGAAAACAGTAAAAATTATATAAATGCGACTTTGAAAATGCAATAAACTTTAGTGAGGATTGATGTTGGACATTAGCCTTGGAGAATAAAACTGATATTGAAAATTTATATCAGATATATTAAAGTCTTTCAACACATTTCACAACTTCACAACTACTACTTCTAAAATTAAAAGCTTATAGAATAAATGACTAACTCTACAATTGGATTTTAATGTTACTTAAGAGATCTGCATTAGAGTATCATTGTTGGTGGTGCATACTCAGAATGGATAATAGTAAATAGTGGGGTCCCCCATTATTTACTTTTGTGATATATAATAAAGATTTTTCTGATTTGGTTTTAGATGTTGTATCTGCATTTACAGATGATACTAAGTTATACAGTTTGCTTTTTGATAGCTCACCATGCAATAAACTGCAATAAAGTATGGACATTATAGCAAACTGGACAAAACTATGAAAACTAAGTTTTATTAAAAAAATTTAAAGTTATACCCTTAGGACCAACAAATGCATAATTCATTTATATACTCGTTGATAAAAATCTCTATACTTCAATGAATATTAAAAACTTTCTCATCAATAAAAAGATCTTCATTGACAGTAGTTTGACTTTTATTTTGTAAGTACTAAGAATAACACCGCCTATAAAGTTGTAGGAATGATCAAAAGATCATTTGTCAATCTCAATATCTTGACATTTCGTACTTTGTTTATTTTCCTTGTTCGTCCTCACCTTGATTCTTGTAGCTCTGTCTACTATCCTAGACTTTAAAAAGATCAACAATTAATTTAAAATGTTCTATGCTAGTCTAGTAAATTTGTTTTTGGCCAGAATAGACTCACTTACAACCAAAGACTATTCAGACTAAATTTAACTAGCATGAGCTATCGTTTCTTATGTAATGACATGGCAGAAACTTACAAATGCATTCAGAATCTTTATAATTGTAGTTGCTATCCTTTTGTTTCCTCTTAAAATACCATTCAGTATTTTATCTATCAACACCTGTGTCAGAATGATGTCATCTGCACAGCCATTATATTTATTATTGTAATTACAGACCGTTAAGTAGTTAATCTGAGTTGTAATAGCATTTGTGTTAATATGGCCACTTCTTAATATTAATATATGATTATATATTTAGTTAGTATTTATTCCTCTATTATGACCAACTCCAACTTAACAACATGCGATCATGCTTATAAATTGAAAAAAATGTTTTGTAAGACAGATATCCGTAAAAAACTTTTCTAATATGGAATTCACAAATTTGTAGAATAGTCTACCATCTGAAATAGTGTTCAACATCTGTCACGACATTAAAAAAACATCTAGATGCATCTTGGGTTCATCAAATGTACAATTGCAAAATGGTAAATATTTACTTAGAGCCTCAAGTTGTTTATTATGTCATATAAGAAAATATTATCATAGAAACCTTGCCAAACCGCGCAAACTTTAAAATTCACTTTTTTTACTAACCAATAATTAAACTTTACTTGCAATAAAAAGCGATTACATTAAACATTAAGAAATGAATCTCAATAATTTTTAGACTAATATTTTCAGTTAAAAAAAAAAAAATCTCAAAAAAGAAAGTTAATCTGAATTTTTTTTATATCATAAATTTATTTGTGATTATTTTTTAGCTGATGTACCGTTAAACTGAAGGTGGTAATAAAGTTTACAAAATTTGCTCTGGCTGAATTTTTCAATGAAAAAACAATGTGTGCCATGAATGTAATCTGTTTAACATGGTGTATCAATGAAAGTTTGGTGTATTGGCCAAATCACTTGCAAGCATCTTGCCTTTAAATTGCCATTTTAAAAGTAACTCAAAACAGCTGAAAATAAGAATTTTTGGGTAATTGTCTTATTTACAAAATTATTTTTGTTTTATTTACAGTATTGTCTTTGTTTTTTATCTAAACAGCTATGTTTGACTCAAATATAGTAAATGTTGATTGTAATTATGGTTTCATCTCTTCTTTATACTTTTTTTTGAAATTTATGAGACTTCTTTAAAACAGAATTATTTTTGCCTCTAGCTTAAAAGGATTCAGGTTACAAAAAAAGTGACACTGAGAGACAGATTGTCTCTCAGTTTCTCAAAGATTAAAGAAATCTTTAGTGTTTTAGGGTTATGTGATTCCATCAGAGCTATGCTTGACTATCTCTTTCGATTTATTGAATTTACTTGCCGGGTATAGATGAAAAAAGATCTTCTAAATCAAGAAGAAAAATTATGGAGCAAAGACACCTTATGAATCAATAGTATATATCAGTGAATTGATATTAGTTAATAGTTTTTGGAAACAGTACCATGTACTATTAAAGTTTCTAATTTTTAAAATATATTATACATTTATATGAAACATACAAACAAATGATACAATATGATACTTGATTGACTATAATTATGTTGTATATCAGAATGTTTTATATAAATGCTTATTACATTTTGTTGTGATTTTTATCTTTTATGCCCAATTAGCAATGTATTTTGTGTAGCAATGACTACTAATCTCCGATATCTATGACATCTGTAGCGGTGAATACACCCTACAGATGTCATAGATATCTGAGATTAATCTATTTATAACCAATTGCTTTTACTCTTTCATAATGTCATATTTTAATAAGAATCACATTATGGAAAACCGTCTAATACATAAACATAAGAGGAACCGTTAAACATTTAGTACAACCAATTATATTACATTCGTTTTTTTATTTTAGATGAACTTTCTTACTTCGGTTGGAGGAGATGAGAAACTTACATCGGCAATCTTAATACAGCTAATGGCCAAAGAAGTATGATTTTCATACGCAGTGTATGGAATGAAACAAAAACGTCCTGCAAGGTCGTTATAGGTAAAGCACAATATTTGTATTCTACATCCCATTTCCTTTTAATAAATAAATATTTTAATAAAAGCTAATTACTTTACAATATTTATACGTGAAAAGTTATATTTCAAAATTATATTGTGATGATATTTAAAAAATTTTTTTGTAGAGTTGCGTTTAGTCGTTTATTGTTGTATTCGTTCATTTCGAAATCGCTACTGACAAAAGTATTAAAGAAAAAATTGGCAGCTTTCTGGCGACGGCCATTAATAGAGATAACGGAAAAAAATAGAACCGAAACTGAGCAACGCCCAATATTGAGCAATGAAATAAGTATCGCCAATATAATAAAAGTCGATGCCCACTATCTCATAGTGAGAGTATAATACAGTAGTTTATATATATATATATATATATATATATATATATATATATATATATATATATATATATATATATATATATATATATACATATATATATGTATATATATATATATATATTTATATATATATATATATATATATATATATATATATATATATATATATATATATATATATATATATATATATATATATTTTGTACGTGTATTTAAATAACATTGATTTTATTTTGTTATATTTTGGTTTTGGAAAACTCTATACCTCTTTTTTTCATTTGTATCTGTTTTATATAACTTCAAATAAATTTAATGATTTCGAATTTTTTTTTCTTAAAGCGTGTTCTATGATTATTGTCATCTCCTAGACTATAACCTGTTTAACTCAAAAGAAAAATGCAGCCTAGTACTATATATATAGTATCACTTAAACAAGAAAACTGTTAGTAATTTTAATTATTACAAATTTGTAGAAGGCAATATTTTTTATTATTTTTTAATAATAAAAATTTAATCGAAAATACTCAATATATTGCCTTATTTTAGTTATATATATTATATATATCAGGATAATATTGTAAACTATATTAGGCCAATATTGGCCAGTATAATATCCCCATTATTGGCGCGATATTATTTACAATATTGGTGCAATATTATAAGCTATATCGGGCCAATGTTGCAGTGTGAACATTTTGCCAATATTGGCCAATATTGACTTTACAGTATTGGTGCAATATTGCATCGCCAATGTTGGCCAATATTGACTTGACAATATTGGCGCAATATTGTAGCGCCAATATTGGCCAATATTGGCAAAATGTTCACATTGTAACATTGGCCTGATATAGTTTGCAATATTGCGCCAATATTGTAAACAATATCGCCCCAATATTGTTTGCTACTAGGGTATAATTTAAAAATGTAGAATTTAAAATTGATATAAAAACAAATCTTAAATCAGACGACTTATTTGATGTAACATGTAACTGAACAGAAAACAACCATAAACCTTTTAAAAATCTGATATCAATCTCTAATACATCTATATATCTTCGAACCACAAAAAGTCCACGACCTAATCTGTCTAGGTTTGAAATTTAAAAAATATATATAATGAGACCCCAATTTTTACATGGTCTGTTCTAATCCTGCACCTCCTTTGTGCCCGATACCCCACCATGGTTTAAAAAAATTTGCAATTATGTCTTGCCCAAAATTTGAAGAACTTTTAAATAAAAGAATAGATTTGTTATTGAAGTGCTGCCACGAAAACAATTTCTAATAAAAAATCATAAAGCTCGCTTCAATTCCTCAAACTTTTGTCTGTGTTTTTTATTTTTAGTAATTCTAGGAATACTGTAACATACTTTTTTTATAACTTTTCTTTTACCATTACTCAGGAACCTTGCTTCTTTCAAGCATATAATTTATGGTTTTATTTACCCTTGAAATTAACCTCCAGTGTGCACAATTTATACCCTAACCTCAAGACCAACTCTCAGTGTGCGTTATAAAATAACGCACACTTGGGGCTGGTCATTTACCAAACACTAACTTTAAAAGAAGGATTAAATTTAAAAGAAGTATTAAATTTAAAAGAAGTATTAAATTTAAAACAAATATTAAATTTAAAATAAATATTAAATTTAAAAAATTAAAAAGTTTTATACGCGCATAAAACTTATTGTTATGCCCAGATTTCGTATAGTCGTAATCAACAAATCCAGCAAACAAAGCAAGAAGTAATACTTGGAATGCAATTAATGCCAGTGGAAACGAAATTCCAACTTGTTTCATTTTCCATATAACTTTAGTATGTAAACTTTCTAAATTAAATATATTATCAACAGTAAAACTCATTCTTTTATTTTTAAATATACAAAAACATTCTATTTCATTTTAATTAAAACATACTATATATATATATATATATATATATATATATATATATATATATATATATATATATATATATATATATATATATATATATATATATATATATATATATATATATATATATATTATATATACTCTTTAGTATAAACTTAATAATATTAAAGTTTTTTGCTATATAGTTGCTACTTTTAACTTGTAACTGATATGTTTAAAATGTAACTGCGACATTTAAAAAATAACAGCTAGAACCTGGTATTTTTAACCTGAACAGCTAGAACTTAGTATTCATAACCTGCAAATGCTGCTTTGCGACAGAAAACAAAAAATTATTGTAAAAATGTGCTTTTAAGAAAACCAGCTCACAAAAACAAACTTCCTTAATTAAAAATGCACACATTAAAAAAAAAAATACAAAATTCAAAATAAAAACTGGAAGATACATAATGTTAACATATAAATCTACAAAAAAACAAACATTGGATAACCAAGTAGTTTGTATGTAATTCTGAAGAATAGTGATTAAATATTTATATAGTCGATAGCGGTATTGTTCTCACAACCTTCATATAACACATAGAAAATCTTATAATCTGTTTTTGCATCTGAATTTAAAATGTTAGTTCAACTTAACTCAGAATTAATAATAAATCAGACTAACATTTGCTAAAAGTAAAACTATATTTAACGAAATCCGTAAATAAAAAAATTGTATGATGAGGTATATGGTATTTATATCTTTTATTAAGAATTAAATAGGGTGGGAAAGCATTAATGTAAGCGCATACTTACATACTGCTTTCCTTTGTGAAATTAGCAATGTAGACTTTGTGGGAAGCGAACTATTAAAAGTTTGATTAAAATAGGTTAGTGAGAATATGAAAATGTTTTGTTTACTAAACGCTCCATAAAGTAATATATAACATATATTATGATTTTATCTTCATGATGGCAGATTTAGAGATAAGGAGGGAAAGTTATGTTTATTCTGCTTTAGCTATTAATAACATAACTTCCCCTCTTTTTTTGCTTCCCAACCTTCCCGTTTTTTAATATTGCTTCTCATAAATGTCTGATAAACAGATATCTGAATGTTTAATTAAAGAAAAAGTTTTAATTTATGTGTATATATATATATATATATATATATATATATATATATATATATATATATATATATATATATATATATATATATGTATATATATATAAACACACACACACACACACACACATATATATATATACACACACACGCGCGCGCACACACACACACACACACACACACACACACACACACATATATATATATATATATATATATATATATATATATATATATATATATATATATATATATATATATATATATATATATATATATATATATATATATATATATATATATATATATATACACACACACATACACACTATTTAAGTAAGTTAGTTTTTATTAGTTAGTCTAATCTTAAAGGAATAAAATCTATATTCTTTTTAGATAATTATAATATACTATTTTTGATATACAGCATGTATGGCAAAAATAGTATCAAGTCAAGTTTTTGTTTGTTTCAAATTGACGCTTCCATGGTTTTTTGCCATTGGCGACTTTATTGATTTAAAAAATGTAATTTTGAAATGGTTGGAGGTGTGTCACGCTGAAGCTTACAAAACCTTCTTTGATTTAGGATTAAGTATTTGAACAAAATATTTGAATTTTTTCAAAAAATTTATTTTCATTTTAAAAAACCATCAAAAAACCTTGTTTTTGTTGAAAAGTAAAACTAAATAGACAATTAATAATGATATTATTAATGATGCGCTAATGTTATTGAGAAAGACGCTTGAGAAACGTCCTTTCGATAATATAATTAAGAACTTCGTACAGAAAACATGTTATATTTTTCAAGAATTTCACTTTACAATGACAAATAAAAAAAAAATTAATTGAAACTGAATTTTTTTGATTAAATTTTTTTTAATGATTTAAATTATAACTTAATCTTATGACGTATATACGTATGACTTAATTGACTTTTTTGACATTTTAATTACATAAACATGAACCCGATTTATATTATGACTTGTGTCTGATACACAAACAAACCTCAAAAAAGTTTTTTGATTTATTATAATCCTTATAAACAAAAACCTGAGTATAAATATCTTATTCGCACAAATGCTGTTATAACAAAAAATTTAACAAAATTATATTTAAAAAAATGAATTCCGATGAATTTCCTTTTTTTTTATTAAACCTTAAGTAATCTTAACAACTAATCTTTTAGACATTCGTTTATAAAAAATAATTGATTTGTTTATAAAAAGGCTTGCTAAGTTTAGAAAAAGACTTGATAAGTTTCAATAAATTTGAATAATTTATGAAGAAATTTATAGGAAAGAAATTAAGGCTTATGCCTTAACACTTAAGAATCGTCCATAAACCACGCAACGCTAAATTTAGTTAATAAAGAAAGCGCAAAATATCAAATGTGTTTAGAAAATATCAAAAATCAGTGATACAGAATTTGATGATATCTTATGGTTCTAATCTTTTGGAAGCAGTGTCTGACATTGTTATTGTGGATACTGTTACTAAATAGTCAAGCTTCTAAAGTTGTTATTTTCTTAATGGTTAGTAATCGAGAATGGATTTTGGATATGACTGTTGTAAAGAAACAAATGGAATCTCTTGCATATCTCGGTTTTTAAATCTCAAAATTTTAGCACGCGGTTAAATTTGCTCTGCAAAAAATATATCATATCCTGAATGTAACTCCCAACATCCTAAATAATTGCCATTGCTCACAGATCCAATAATCTTGTTATTTCCACAATAACCGAGACTATTCGATGACAGCAATTTGATTACATTCAAAATTCGTTTAAGATGTTGACGCCAATAGTTTTTTTCAGGCATGTACTGTTCTACAAGACTTTTATCGCCTGTAGTTTTATAAAAACAACATTTTCATAATTATTTTTGTGCAAAGTACTGACTTCATGTCAATTTAAACCCATGACTGCATTCTTCAAATTGTAATAACTATTAGTTGTTAACAGTGACATTTCTTTGGCATTTGCAAATAGCTTACAGTTAACTCAGAATAACTTACCAATTTTTTGGAGAATAATACGTTCAATCAGGCTAATCACCGTTTAATCACTCTCAAAAAAGTAATGATTTTGAAAAACGTTGCTTAAACGTATTGCCTAAAAGTATATCTTTTTACGTGCTAAAATCACTCTTAATTTGTTGACTACTAACAATCCCTTGAAATTGCAAAAAATATCAGTAACTTTCAACATTATAACACCATCAGGAAATTCTATATCTACATTTGCAAGTTGTGCCATTACATTTTCGCTTTAATTTTTTTTATTAGACCTTTTTTGATCTGGTTCTTCTTAAAGTTTTTATTCGTGATTTCTATTTATTGTTAAGTCATCATTAAGATTCAAGGTTCAAACCCTTGGATCTTAATAATTTTTTGGGGCACCTAAATCAACATTAAAAAAAAAAAAAAAAGTTTAATATCTCCATATCCCCCTCTCTCTAAAAAATAACTTCAATATTTGATTAACTCTCCTCCACCTTTCCTCCGTAAATTTCAAATGAAAAAAAAAACACCTTTTTTTATCTTTTTTTAAAAAAGTAATATTGTTGAAGTCAACCTTTTTTGACTTCCCATTCCCAATTCTCAACAATTTTCAATTGTTGAGAATTGGGAAAGGGAGGTCAAAAAATATAGGAAGGGTAAAAAATATAGGAGGAGTATAACATTTTCGTTTTTTAAAATCAAAAATGTTATACTCCTTCCCTATTTTGTTGACATAATTAAAGGACCACCCTAAGTTTTGAGGTTGACAGAATTCAGTAACCTTACAAGTTAAAATATAAAATTGCAGTGTTGTAAAATATAAAATTGCAGTATTAACAAAGCTGCAGTAGATTTCCAATAGTTAAACATCCGGTAGATAAACATTTTTTACGGTGTCTAAATGCCCGATATTTAAACATTAGGTATTTAAGGTCACTGGGGCAAGCTTAATTATCCGACTGTTGATAACTTGATTTTTTTTGTTTTTTGATGTTTTTGATGGGCTTTTTTATTTTTTGATATTTTTTTCTAGGAGGAAAAGTGGGCTTATTATTTATAATTGTTTTTTTGTTTTTTTTCAGTATGCATATTTTTTGTAGTAGGTTTGTGGCTTAGGTCTTCTTAGTCGCTGCCTTAATACGTCAGAGGCAATTCTGGGAAAGCACCTTCTGTGGATTCTCGTTTAAAGTTATTACAAACATTATATTTATTACTTTTCTTCGAAATTTTGATAATAATTCGATGGTATCAGCCGGAAATACAAATGGAGTTTGAAATCACAAAGCAATATTGTTGGCTTCTTCGGAAATTAAACAACACACTTATGAATGACATATGATTACATGCAAAGGTTTAGGAAAACAACATGTAAAAATTAATTATTCTATTCAGTTTGGTCAAAAATATTATCTTTCATAATAATCTAGAGACACCGTCCTGATTTCTATTTTTCTATTTGTCAACGAAATACCATGAAGTAATCGGATCTACCTAATTTGAGAGATAATGCTAAACAAGTACGAATAGATTAAGTTGAAAAGAAGTTTACTTTTTATTTCGACTTCACCAATCAATATTTTGGCAAATTTTGGGGTAAATTGCGTTTTTTAGAGAGCGAATGGAAAAAAATCCATTTGGTTTTATTAATGTTAAAAGTTAATTTGTTACTTTTGAACTAAATTAATATGTTTTTAAGTCATTCATTGTAGAAAAAGATGTCTTTATTATTCAGGAATAAGATTATATATCTTTACTATTCAGGAATAAATTGGTGTCGTCGGCAAACATGATACTCATTAAGTTTAAGGCTTTGTTTACGCCATTTATAT